ATCCATTTTACAAACAAACAAGCTAAAAGTTTGCAGTCTGCTTGTTTGTGTAAAAAAACAGACAAACACAGCAATGAAATCGCCCCACTACAGTAGTTCTTATAGAAGCTCCTGCGGGTTTTTCCCAGGTATTTCAACACGACACCCTCCGGTGCTGCTCCTTTTCTCCGTGTCACCATCTCTCCTTCTTCGAATACTTTCACAGATTCATATTTCAAACTTCAAGAGGCTCACAGAATGCAACTCGACTCCAAAAATGCCCTAAAGTCACGTCTCGGCGCAATTACCAAATGAGCTCAATGCAAACCTCCCGTGAGAGCTTAAAAAGACTCCAGACTATTAATCCTGGTGGGATCTGTGTGAACTAAAAAGAAGTTCACGGCACATCTAGCTTGTTTTGCCCGGAAATTTTTTTTACTAGAAGGTATTACTGCAGATTCAACCCACACTACCCTTCACTTATCAACTCAAGGTCTAATCGGCTTCCCGTGACTCTGCCCTGCAGGTTTTTTAGGTGCTGCTGACATATAAAGCATGAAATATGACATGCATCACCCTGAACAGGGGAAAGTCTGGGGTTTTCTACACTGATGTGATCACAGTCTGGGAGGAATAACGTTCCTGCTGGATCTCAGACGAGCTTTATTATTACCGCACTTAAAGGGGTCATCTGATGCCCATTTTCCACAAGTTGATATGATTCTTGTACACACACTGCCAACACACATTTCAGTTCAAACAACTTGTAAAAGTGCATGTAGCATCCTATGACCCCTTTAAATATAATCATAAACACAAGTGATTTACAGCAAGCAAACTACAGAGACCAACTCAGAATATTAAAAACCTTCAGTAAAGGTCATTCTAAACGTGTCTCGTTTATGAAACTTTATGTAAATCATTCTTATGTAAATAGTTGCATTTATGCAACAGCTTACATACACTGTAAAAAAAATAAAAAGAGTATTTTTTTACAAAAAAAAAACACTATTTTTGTCTTTCCACTTCAAAATTTAATGTTTAATTCAGTGTTACTTGTCATTTCTTTGTAACTTTTTGAGAAATTTACTACTAATTTCTGAGTGAAAATTGTTTTATCACCAATTTCTTTTCAGTGATAGTGTTAAAAGTTATTTTTCGAAGTTGTAATAAAACAAAGATTATTGGAGTATGTTTTACAAGAAAATACTACTTCAGTCTTTCTATGTGAAAATCTCACATCTAATTCAATGTGTTATTTGCTGCTTCTTTAATTATTTGTGAATTTTACTAGCAATTTCTGAGTGGAAACTGATTCAAAGTAAACCAAAACCACGTGATTGTGATTTGTGATAATTCACACAAGAATGATTTAATAAATTATTTACACTATAAATTTGTTCTTCTCAAGTCTCGTAAATGACTCTCACAGTCTTTACACGTGAACTAACTTGCAAAACTCAAAATATTAGTGTTGGGAATTTGCATTATTGCTTTGAATTGTGTAGTTCCAGTTATATGAATATCAGACAGCACTAAATAACCGTGTTAATGTTGTAAAACTCATCAATTCTGAAACTAAATTCAATTTCAGCTGTAAAGCAGCTCTACAGAAGGTAATAGTGTCATAATTCAGCTCAATTCAGTTCGATTTTTGCTCTCATCCAATAGTGTCCGTGCCGTTAAATTGATATTATTATTATATATTTTATTTGATGAATTTATGATTTTTCGTAAATGACTCTCACAGTCTTTACACGTGAACTAACTTGCAAAACTCAAAATATTAGTGTTGGGAATTTGCATTATTGCTTTGAATTGTGTAGTTCCAGGTATATGAATATCAGACAGCACTAAATAACCGTGTTAATGTTGTAAAACTCATCAATTCTGAAACTAAATTCAATTTCAGCTGTAAAGCAGCTCTACAGAAGGTAATAGTGTCATAATTCAGCTCAATTCAGTTCGATTTTTGCTTTCATCCAATAGTGTCCGTGCCGTTAAATTGATATTATTATTATATATTTTATTTGATGAATTTATAATGATTTTTGAGGATTTGAGACACTAATCCGTCACCAACAACAAAAAAAGATTTTTTCCCCTCCCTTTTAAGTGTTATTTTGTTTTCCCAACTATGCAAGACTATACAGTTAGCTAAATTATATTATTTGCATTTATCATTGTTTGTTCCCTGCTGTTCGTGACCCATCAGAACAGATCTGCAACCCATGTTTTGCAAAACTCAAAATGTCAGTGTGGGGAATTTGCATAAGTGCATCAAGTCGTGTCGTTCCAGGTAAATGAATATAAGATAGCACTAAATATGTGCTAAATAAGAGTTAATAGTAGCAGTGCAACTAATGCTGGTCTACAAGTGGAAATGTGCTGACTAATGGACTGGAGCAGCTCAAACATGAACTTTTAATTACCTATATTTGAGTTAATCGTTGCATGAATAAGGCCAGGAATAGTTGGACTAACACTTCCATTGCATGGAAACACCTCTATTTATTATCCGTGGAAGAATGCAAGTCAGAAGGTTTGTAGCAGCATGAGCGGATGATGACAAAATGTTATTTTCTGGCTAACTAAAGTCTTTGTCTTAGGAATAGCATCACTAACAGACTTCTCTATCTTGTGTTTCCTCAAACATAATGATTCTCGGCGTTTCCTCTGGCTGCTATTTCCAGCTTCATCAAGGCCCTGATTGTTTTCCATTTGACATCCCGAGTGTAAGACGAGATGATGCTTACCTGTTCTTTCACCTGCCTGACCATGCAAAAACTAGAAGTGACGCATGCTGGAGCTCTGGCTGCATTAAACCTTGTGCTATTGTTCTTGCAGACTGTCTCACCTCGAGGCAACATGAACTGAACCCAGTTCAGGAGATCATGAGATCCAATAGCTTGTGATCCAAAGCCCTTGAGTCAATGCAACAGCCAAACGTTGTAGGAAATGCGAACTATAACACAAAACTTGACTAAATGAGAAATGCATTACAAAAAAATGGTGTTGCATTATAGTTTATGCAACTAAGGGCCAGATTTACTAAACAGGGCATATTAGCGTCAGATCGCAATCCTATAAAAGCACAGATGGGAGTGGAAAGTTCTATGACAATGCACAAATTAAAGAATACAGATCATTTCCATAATGACCAACACAATCCACCCAGAGCAGCCAAATTAGCGCAGGGCCGATGGTAATCAACACAGGCACAAAACAGCTTAAGACATGCTTTTTGGCTTTAAATAATGGCACAAATACTAGTAAACTGACTGCTGCAAACCTTAGTAAATCAAACATTCTCCTCCCATAAATGTTGCATGTGAAAGTGAAACTTCTATAAATGCATATGCAAAGATCAGCCTCAAAATTAACCGCCTTTTCATTGCTAATGTTTCATTGTGTCTTTAGTAAATCCAGACAGTAGTTTTAAACGCCAAAAGAGGGTTTGCACATGTGCAAGCTGTTAGTAAATCTGAATCTGAAGTGTGACTAAAATTAGTCTATAAGATGCAATAACCAGGCTCAGATGGAACATGTCTGTGAGTGTTAAAAGGCCATGAACTACCACACCAGTGAAACATTTCATACATACTTCAGCTCACAAAGCTGAAGATCATATTCTCATCACTGCTTAAACTACTCGTGCTATTTAGTATTAAACCACCAGACTCAAAGCAAAGCAAATGACTGTGCTGACCACTGTAAAGTTGCATTAAGTCCAAGGAAAAATAAACACTACACTGGTGGAAGAGAAAAACGGACATGCTACGGGCCAGATTGACCGGTTATATTTATAGTTATTCTGTACAGACTTACACTGACTTCAACCGTTTTGATTCATGTTATAGTTATTCTGAGGACACAAAGCCAAATCTGAATATCCAAATCCTTCAGCACCTGCCGTGTTCTGCTATCACCAATCATATGAAGCACATTTGTCCCTGATTTCATTTGAATTAGTGACAGAACATGAAAATTGCATCAGATAATCATGACTGATTTGCCAATTAACAGAAGTGCTGCTCTCGCTTCTATTAGCTCTAAACCTTACCAAATGCATAATAATTTCTTTCTGTAAATTACATTTTTACACACACACACATATATATATGCATATACTGTAAATATTGTGCATATACCGTTGTATGGCATACTGTACATACATATATATATATATATATATATATATGCACGCATATGCAATGCCAAACAACGGTACACACACATATTTTGGTCATAGTTTGCTTTCTGCATTAAAATAAATTTACAAAAGTGATTTTATATACATAAGCATATTACACAAGTGTCTACTTTAATGTTTCAAATAACTTGTCAAATTCCCAGTGTCATTCAGCGAAACAGATACAGTATATTTATGTAAATGAAACTTACTTTGACCTCTACTTACTAAAATATATAAAAGAAAAATTGATCATACTAACATCTATTATATTTTGAATGATTTAAAACTTATAGCTGACAAATGGGTAAAAGGATATAGTGGCAAAAATTGGTAAAGATTTTAAATTACAATTAATTATCGTTTTGTGGGCTGCAGTCTATTTCATTACACCAAATACACAAAATAATGTTCTTTTTAGCAACATCATATGACCCCTTTAATGTCATCAAATGATTATTGTTCTAAAAATGCCTGACAAGATTTTTTTTGGTATATGAACTATTGTTTCTTTCTTCCATGTCTCATAAATAGAGGTGTTGTATTTTTCCATGCAATGGCTATATGGCTACAATGCATGCACAATTAATTCAAATATGCATAATTAAATGTCCATGTTTGAGCTGCTCCATTAGTCAGCAAATCGGCAACTCTACACTTCAAACTGTTGAATATTTTTAATATCATATCATCATATTATTCTGGCAACCCTGTTCTCTAGTTATCAGTATTGGCATCTGCCACTAAAAAAAACTCTTATTGCTCGAACGCTACTTATTACACAACAGCAAAAGCATGCAATGTCATAATGTGAAGATATCTACTGTACGGCATCACAAACTTCAGCACTGCTGCAAACACCAGGCCTGTCCAGGAATTTCACAGCAGCACAGAAGTTTCCCCAGCGCAGGCCATCCAGAGCACGCCCAGAACGGGCCCCGAGCTCACTTGGGCTACTCTTGCATGAACACAAACCCAAGTAGAGTCTCCGTGAGCATGCATTTGACCGCCGAGGCCCATCAAACTCCTCTGTGCAGCAAAGTGACATAAGAATCTCAGCAAACACACATGCAGGCAATTTGAGAGAGGATTCAAACTGACAGCTTTGACCTATAATGAGGAGAAACACAGCTCAAACATGACACTTTAATAAAAGTAATGCAGTGATTTTATGACTCTACCTGCTTTCTCCTTTCGCATTGGAGGGCGGTGGGTGAAGAATAGTCTGGTTTTCCTCCATCTCAACCACACATTTTGTGCTGAGCTCAATCTCTGCAAGCCAAAAGTTATTAAAACTCGACTAGAAGTCGTGATTAAAAAAAAGTCTGAAACGTATTAAAACAGCACTTAACGTGAACATAGAGCCACAGCAACTTATAAAACGGATTTAATTCTGAAATAGCAATGCTTGTTGCGATTTTAAATGGTCTCTTACCTCTCCGGTTCATTGGCCGGACTCGAACCGCTACTTTTACCTTAGTATCCGACATTTTTGTTACAATTTCAAGGCTTTAAAGTGGATGAGAAAGCCGCTAGCTGCTCCGCACGGCTAGCCGAAGAATAACATGCAACTCCCCGCAAAGTCCCCCACAGAAGCGTCTGAGGTGCTTGTACCCTGGTAAAATACTCCAACAGTCCATACCCGAGCGGGAAACGCCGTGAATATGAATCCAGATGAGACTGTGTTGCATTCGGGTTGAATGTGTGATCCTCCGCCGCGGGGAGAGCAGCTCTGCTCCTCTCTCTCAGCCAGCCAGCAGCATCCAGACCGCCATCTTCCGCCGACTGACCCCAAAAACACAAAAATGTGCAGTGTGCATGAATATGCATGAAAGAAATGAGTTGAAAAGAGACCAGATGGACCACAACGACCTGTGATGCTCCTACATGGCGATATAAAACGACTGGTTATGTTAGAAGAGGTGGAGAAACAGCCTTACCTTGAGTCATGATCAATAAACTATTTAGCACTTTATCTATACGAAATGATTCCTAATGTTTCTTCTGTACTGGCATTTGTTGATTTCTCCATTCAAAAAAGTACTGGCATGCAGAAACATGTGAATTAAGAGTTTTATCCTTTTTAAAAAATATGATTTAATATGCCTGACTCAATTAGGTTAAATTAATAAAAGTCAGTTTTAAGTGTCAGATATAAAATAAAAATAGCTTCTGAAGGTAATGATCGACCAATTCACATTTTACAATTGACAGTAAGAATTGGCAAATTTGATAAAAGAAACAAATTACAAAATCTAAAGAAAATGAAGACAACTGAAGTATAACTACATAAATATTTAATGCAAATTTAAAAAAAAAAGTTGATATGCCACTTTTAGAACTTTTTTTGTAAAAAAAAAAAAATCTATTTACATCTATTTGTGATGACATTAGCACTATTGACTATACTTTATATATTTTTTAAAGATATTGATATTATAATGAAATTACATATTTTTAGCATTTATAATTACATAAAGATTAAATGCAGATTAAAAATGCCACTTACTGTATGTTTTTTAAGATGGTAATATCATGGTACTTTATGTTGGTACTCCATAAAATGCATGCTCAAAAACACTTTATATATATATATATATATATATATATATATAGATAGATAGATAGATAGATAGATAGATAGATAGATAGAGATATATGCATGTATGTATATTTAATGATATTGATGTTATAATGATATTATATATTTTTAGCCCAATTTATTAAAAGGCCTTTTATGCTTAACCATGAATGCCTTGAAATATTTTCTTATTTTCATACTTCATATATTATTTTATGCTTCCTTTTGCACATATTCTCATTGTACGCAGCTCAAATGCAAACACTGAGCGATACTAATGCACAGTTTTTGTCATGACAATAAAGCACATTAATCTGATTTTCTCTAGTGAAAGTGCGGGTCGTTTTCACTGAGTTGTGAGTTACGGTAAGAAGTGCTTTATAATATGCTGTGACGACAACAGCAGTCTAGTACGATCAAGGGGAATGGAGCAAAACAGATTATGGGATTCCCCTATGGGTTGCTTTAATCTCTGTGGATTAAACATTAAGAATTAATCAAATAATGTATTGCATGCCATTTTAAATAACCATACACCCATAAGAGTTACACTGGGTGTATATTCATTTAAAATGACTTTTGATTAAATGTTGACCTGTAGGAACTTTGTAAAGTCATAGTTTGTGCCAATGACTGCCAAGTGGTTCCCAAACATGTTCACCTATTGTAGGTTCCAGGATCCCATGCAAAATAACCATTTGGTTATTATTAAGGCACTGAATGACATGACAGTTCATAAATAATGGAACCAGTGCATGAATTTCTTCAGCAAGGAATATTAGGGATGACTGACATACAAATCATTGAATTCAGATGTTTCTGTGTTTATAGATAAAAAAATAACCATAAGAAAAGAATACTTGACAAGTGAACTTTAGATTTGACATAAACTTGATTATGCAAAATTACTTACAGTTTACGTATTAAAGCTATAAATCAAGGACAATCCCACTGGAACAACCTGGAACTGAGTGCATTGATCAATACATTATACAATAAAATGCATTGCACTGCATTTCGTACACTCTTGTAAATACTCATTCATATATGTGACCCTGGACCACAAAACCAGTCATAAGGGTCAATTTTTCGAAATTGAGATGTATACATCATCTGAAAGCTGAATAAATACGCTTTCCATTGATGTATGGTTTGTTAGGATAGGACAATATTTGGTCGAGATACAACTATATGAAAATCTGGAATCTGAGGGTGCAAAAAAATCTAAATATTGAGAAAATCATCTTTAAAGTTGTCCAAATTATGTTCTTAGCAATGCATATTACTAATCAGAAATTAAGTTTTGTTATATTTACGGTAGGAAATTTACAAAATATCTTCTTGGAACATGATCTTTACTTAATATCCTAATGATTTTTGG